TGCGGCAGGATCCCTGGGAAGCCATGAGTGCAAAGCCATGCCGCGTGCTTCGACGAGAGACGGCACGCAGGGATTCTGTGGGGCCTTAGAGTTCCCCACGCCTTCCCCCTTCCTCAGCCACGCCAGCCCTCCGCCCTCCACACTCCGCGTATGTGCGCACCGTGAGGGCTGCCTCGACGGCCCCCCGGACGGTGGGCGTGCCCAGGAGCCCCGGCTCCACCCTGACCGCCTCCCCCAGCGCCTTGAGCGCACGCGCACGTGTCGCGGGGGCGGCGGCGGCCCCGTCCAGGCTGTCCAGGATCCAGCGCAGGAGCACGTGCCGCGCGCGCTTCGTGCGGCCCTGGGACGGGCGAGGAGGTGTGTGTGTGTGAGACGGAGCAGGAGTGAGGTTGCGGGCTGCTGGGGAGGAGGGCAGCATGCCCAGTCGTTGGTCACGCCTGCTCCCCAGTCCGCCCACTCCCAGGGGTTCTTGCTGCTGAGTCTCGTCAGTCCTGCTCCCCCTCCGACCCAAACAAGTCACATCAGCCCAAGGCTCTCCCACCCCATCCAATACCTCCCCACATGGCCCCTTCAACCCCCTCTCAGCACACCAGGGATGCAGCTCTGGAGGCGCGGCCCGCCTCAGCATCCGTCAGTCTGGTGGTGCCGAATGGGGCAGCCTCCAAGAGGCAGTGGGCCTGCAGGAGCAGTGCCTCGGCAGCTTCAGCCGGCACAGCCTGGGGTGCATCGCCGGGTGTGAGGGTGGATGCCTGCGGTCGGAATCGTAGTAGGTCGGCCTGTTGAGCACCAGGCATCGGCAAGGGACGGCACACCGCCCAGCGAAGCGGGCGACGTGCCCAGATCGAGACTCGGAGCCTGAACACAAGAGGCCCTTGAATTCATCGCCTACGGTCGCCTTGCCTGCCTCAGCTGCTGCACGCCCTCCGCATAGTGCAGGACCGCCGCAAAGCGCGCCGCGTGTGGAAGCCCACACGTGACAAGGTGGCGGGCCAGCGCAGCCGTCGCAGCGCCGGCGGGATCGGGCGCCTCGCCGCCCTCTGCATGATGGAGGGAGGGGCAACCGTCGGCGAATGCGGGATGCGTCGTCAGACTGCTGACTCACCCCACCGGCCTTGCAGCCATCCGCGTTGCCAAGTCCCAACTGCACCGTCGTGCCCCTCCACCTGCCCCACAGGACCACTCGCCTGCGGCCTGGTCGCCGCCTGCCCACGCCACGTCCCGGGTCGGCGTGACGCTGAGGAGGCCCAGGGGACCGACCAGCTTGCCTGCCACCGCCAGGCAGAACTGCTCCATGCCCGCATCTGCAGCGCGCAGAGCGCCAGGGCGTGGATGCAGCGGCTGGCCCTCACGGCGATTCCAGGTCTGGCCAGCTGCAGCATGCATCGCCACCCTTGCAGCCTCAGATCTCTTCTGCAGCCCCCGCGCCCCCCCTAACCCCAATCGTCCCACGCACCACCCGTCCTGGAGGCGCACACCAGTGCGGGCACCAGGCGGCCCAGCATGCACTGCGCCGCCGGCCACTCCGGCGCCCAGGCCAGGCCCACCAGCTCCGCCACCAGCGCTTCCAGCGCGGCGCGCGCGCCGTGCTCGGCGTCGCCACGTTGCGCGCGCTGGGCCGCGCAGCGTTCCAGCAGCCCCCGCCACACGCCGTCCGCGCAGGACAGCGCCGGCGCCGAGCAGTCGAGGCCGGGCGCGGAGCAGGCGCCGGGGGCGGGGAGGGCGACGCAGCGGTGCATTCCCGCGAGGAGGGCCGTGGCGGCGTGCGTCGCAGCGCGACACGGCAGCTCGACGCTGGGGTGTGGAGGCACGCCGGGCGTCACGCCCGGCGCAGGGTCCCTGAGACCTGCAGTCGTCGCGCGCGTGGTGCCGCCGCCCAGCGGCAGCAGGGCATGGCGCAGCACATCGGCGACGACCTCCTGCCGGAGCTCGGGACAGGCGCCCAGCACGGCTCCCACCAGATCTGAGCGGGGGAGTGGGTCGGTGGCAGTGGAGCTGAGCGCGAGTCAGGAGCGCGGTGTTTGGGTGCGGCGCGGGAGGATCAGAACCCCATGACGGCCACACTCAGCCTGCCACGCCGAGCCCCGTCCATGGCCCAACCTCCTCCACCCCCAGCGCACCTGCCGCCCGCGCGCAGAGGGCCGCCGCGCTGCCGGCACTGCCCGCGGAGCCCAGCACCTGGGCCGCGCAGGTGACCACAGGTCCCAGCGCGTGGGTGGGCAGCGGCTGCCCGGGCCCGGAGACAAGGTCGGCAAGGTTGGCGAGGGCGGCCTGAGCGTGGTGGCACACCGTCTGGAAGTCGGGGCCACGCGCCGCCTGGGCCGGTCCTCCACGAGCCTTGCCCTCCTCGTCGGGACTGGTCCCCAGCAAGTCCGGGCGGAACAGGGATGCCCAGGCCGGGTCCAGGAAAGGGAGCACCGAATGGCAGGTGACCGATCGGAGTGAGCGGCAGATGCGCTGCAGCACCTCCACATCTGATGCCCCTTCTGCGACGGCGGGATGGAATTTGAAGTGGTGTGAGAGTCATGGTGTCGCTCATGGTTAAAGACCCTTGCCTCCTGTTGGTGTCACGATGGAGGGCCTCATGTGCATCGTCACTGTTGACCTGAGGCTGGGCACCGCACCTCCAGAGAGAAAGGGATGCAGAGCCAGGATCAGGAGACATCGGGTGCCCAGGATGTTGACCTTGTATGCTTGCTCCTCAGGTGATCCGTCCTGCATGAATCGCAGCAAGAAGTGAGGGATCTCCGGTTCCCGGCCTGAAGCTGAAATAAACCCCAGCCCTGCATGCACGAAACCCTGCATCCAGGACAGCCCCAATGCTGACTCCCCTCCAACCCCACCGACCTCCTTCTTACCCTATCAGGAGTGGGGCGGCAGGGCTCTGCGCCACCAGCCGCTACGAGCAGCGACTGCGTCAGCGCTGATGCGACATCGGGTGGCAGCACTGGTCCCGGCAGCAGCTTCCCGGCAACGGCGTGCAGCATGGCAGGGCACGAGCTGCACTGCACCAGAGCTGCGAGCAGCCGGTCCAGGGCCTGGGACCATGCCGGCCAGTCGGTCTCGCCGCCGGCCGTATCCACAGGCTCCTGGCGCAGGTACTCGGCGACGGCTGATGCCAGCGCATCTGCGCAGCATTGAGGGGATTACTTGATTTCTGTGCATCCTGGCCTGACACTGCTGGAAAAAGCTTGCCAGACCATTCACAGTTCATCCTCCTGGACCCCCACCTGAGGCATGTCGGCAGAGTTCGTCTTGGGAGGGTGCCATCTCCTTCTTGATGCAGGTCATGGTGAATGGCAGGACCGTGCGCCTTTGCTGCGGAGCAACAGCCTGTGGGCGGGAGATATGGCCCTAACACAGCCTGGCCCTCCAAGCATTGATGTAAGACTTCAGACAGCACAAAGGACCTGACACAGAACAGCTTTCAAGTACAACCCTCACCCCTGCGAGCGGCTATACCTGAGGCATTGTTAACTGTGGCGATGGGGTCATGACCTGACTCCGATTGGCTGCAGCACCAGCATGTGCTCCAGGAGTGGTTTTCTCACCGGTCTTTCGGCGTGCGGAAGCCCGCGTGCCGGGCCGAGGGGCCGGCGTGGAGGTGGCGCCGAAGAGGGTGGGGCTGATCTCCAGCAACTGGGCTTGGAGGGGGGTCATAGCAGCAGAGGCCCTAGGCGTTTCGTCACACCGAGGATTCCTGCAAAAATGACATGATGTAATAAACGTTTCATCAACTGGTCGCTTATACTATGCATGCTTTTGGCTGCCCGGTGGCATGGGTACGACAAGCAAGCCCATCCCCGTCTTACAGGAAGGAGACGTCGGTGGCAGCGATGAGGCCCGCCAGCTCCTTGACAAATTCATCTGATACCTTTGATGATCCTGCATCCTCCGTACAGCAGCTTTTGTAGTCGTCGGAAGGAGGGAATGGGGTGGGCAGGAAGCGGTGGAATGGTGGGTCCGGAAGCAGTGTCGTCTCCAGTCGACATCGGTGAACAGCTGGACCTGACATGATGCTATTGTAATGTTAATGGTCCAATCCACGGATCCATTTAAGCCCCGATGACCATGCGCGAGTCCGGCTAGTCTGCATGCTCAGTTATTTGTATTTCAAGGGATTCTTTCTTCCCGCTACAATCGGGGGGCGCCAGAACTCCCGGCCTAGCCCAAATTCGCAGCAACAGACGGAGATCGTATCGCCATCTCGTACCCGAATCCTCCTGGTCCACACCAGCACACAAACTCAGAATATCGATAGCCCACATCGGAATCTACCGCGCGTCGGCGCGCTTCTCCGTTTGCAGCAGAGCACCCGCGCGGAGAGTCACCAAGGTGCAAAAACCGGCACCCGGCGCTAACATTTTTGACACTAGACTCGAGCTGGCGTAGTGCTGAACAAGTTGGAGCGTAATTCGCCTCATTCAACGTATTCCAGAAAGTTCGGCGAGTGCTCAAGGAACCAGTCTCGAGATACCGTTGAGCCGGGGCACATGGAAGTCCCCACCCCGACATGGAAGCCTCGTCGGCCAGTACTGGAGCCCCTCACCATGAACCCCTGGCCCTCGACCAGCGACAGGCAGAGCGGTGATGCTTCGGTGGACCTGAGCATGCACAGTTGCCCATCCAGGGTTCAACCAATGGAGGTGAGACAGGAATTGTTACCGTGTGGGTCATGAACAGATGCTGAGACTCCTAGGTTGCCATCCCTTCAGTCTGCAGCGCAACCTTCTGAAGTGCCTGATTATCTTTTTTTAACCGCAATGTTCTCACCTCCCTCCTCCGACCTGGGTCCCCAGTTTGATGGCGCCTGCTCGCCGTCCAAGGACTTCAACCCTTTTGCTGCAATGGAAACCATGGAACAAACCCCAATGCCGGACGGCCGGGCATGCAGTCCCACTCAGCAGCCCTGTCCACCCGTCAACTGTTACAAGGATGGGCCGCCACCTGACACGGCGCCTCAAGGTGAGTAGCACGTGTGTGCAGGCACACCGGTCCCACGAATATGCTAAACACTCTATGGGCTGGACGATATTGAACGAGGGAGGTGCGCAGCATTCTCCCTGGGAACACCTCCCCTCCCTCTGTATCCCTGCAGGAATCGCAAGGACATGCCCCCCCATCCAAGCGCCCAGGAAACAGCGGCTCCCCGGCAGGACAAGGTGAGGTTAAGTTGAGGGGTTTACTTGCCCATTGCTACTTGATAGTCTTTGACAGTCACCATGGAGAAGGTATTGCAGGCGGTCCCAACCCCGCCAGGACTTCAGCCTGACGCCATCGCCGCGCGCCGCGCACGTTCACACGCGTGCCGCCTTTGCCGTCGTCGCAGGGCACGGCGCGTCCTGAAGCTTGCCGGGGACGAAGGCACGGCGCGGTGCGCCTCTGCCCCCGATCCGCTGCCCGGCCATGTGGTGACGGGGTACAGCCGCAAGCGCCTGGAAGAGGACCTGGTCAGCCCCCTGATCCTCAGGAAGGCCACGCGGAGGGTGGACCCCCTCTGCCCCTCCAGCCTGCTCTCCGGCCTCTGCATCGAGGGGAGGGGCGCCGGCGGCGACGGGCCGCGCTGACCGTGCCCAGCCGCCAGAAGACACACGGTGTACCAGACACACCCACCCATTGCAATCATTGAAAGAGCGAGATTGAAACTGCCAACCCCCACCCTCCTTCCTGCTGCCTGCAGTGTGCTTCGGACCTGGCCCCTGCCCAAACTCCACGTCATGTCATTGCATGTCAGTGCCGGTGTGGGCACATGGCAAGGGTGGAGGGTGCGTGTCAGACACGTACAGAAAGGGCCAGCTGGACGCCTAGGTGTCGGAAGATTCCCCATTCCCACTCGCGCCGCCACCCCCCGCCGCTGCCGCCGCCGCAACAAGGCCCTTGAGCTCGCCGCAGGCCGCCAGCGCGGTAAGGAGGTTGAACACCGCCGGCACGTAGTCTGTCCGGCGGCGCAGGTTTTCGTCCGACCAGGCGGCGCGCCTCGAGCACTCTGCGTCCAGGGCGGCGGAGAGGCGGGCGCCCTCGTGCCGGCAGGCCGCCAGCTCCTGGGCGGCCGGGCTCGACCCCGCCGCCGCCTCCTCCAGCGCGGCGCACCGCACCCAGTTGTCGGTCAGGGCGTCTTGCAGCGCGGTGCGACGGCACCTGCACGGCGTACAGACGAGTGGGTGGGTGGGAGTGCGTGGCGAGGGCCCAAGGCGCTGTGCCCGGGTCCTCATCCCAGCCTCGACGCAGTTCTGGTCCAGTCAGAGGCCCATGCTCGCTTTGGAGGTCTCATTCCAAGGCCTTCATCCCCAGGCTTCCAGTGCAAAGCACTATTCGCAGGCCTCCGCCATCACCCCCACTCCCGGCCCCTGCGTTCCGGGTCCCAATGCGGCCCTCCCCATCGCACAGCCTCCAGAGCCGCCCCCCCCCCCCACCTCACTTGGTGACGGCGAGGAGGTTGAACTTGATGTCGTGGGAGGCATGCTGCGCGATCCGCTTCTTCATCGCGCTGGCTGCAGTCTGCGTCCACTCGTCCTTGGGAAGGGTTCGATGGGGAGGGGCGGGGTGGGAGGGGTGCTTCCATTGGGGGACTTGGGCCGAGCACCGGGAGCTGTGCCCAGGGCCAGTTCAAAGCCCTGCCTCAACTTCCACCCCCAAGCCCAGCAGCCCCGCAACAGCCTCACACCTGGCCGGCCTCGCCAAGGCAGACGGGGCCAGGCTGCAGACCATCCAACTCCCAGATGGAGCCGTCTCGGTGGGTGTAGGCCACGAAGTGGAAGGCCTCGCCCTCGGAGTCGGTCTCGGGGTTCTCCGGGAGGAGCGCATGCGGGGCGGTGAAGCTGTTGTGCACCTCCCGGATCGTCTCGCTGTTCCCGATGGCCTCGCCTGGGCACCGGGGGGTGAGGCAGGGAGCAGGTCTGAAGGGAGTTGCAGGCATGGGGTGAGGCATGACAACATGGGTCCGGGCGGCCAGCAAGGGGCCCCGGCTGAGACTCACCCCTGAGATCTGCGGGGAACCCCGCCGTGAAGTCGCGGAACTGGGACAGCTCCTCCCCAATGTCCAGCTCTGGTCGGTTCAGCAGGATGCTGAGTATGGCCTGGGTTGCACATGCGTTGTTGATCACCCTGCAATGTACATGCCTCGCCAGGGTGGTGAAGGCCTGCACAGATGGCAGCCAGAATGCTGTCCTTCCCCCGCACTGGCACCCTCGGCACTGCAGCGGCATCAGTGAGAGGCCCCTGCCAGCAAGCCCATTCCAAATCAGGCTAGGTCAGGAGTTCTTTCAGCCTGCGACTCACTGCTTTGCGAAGAAGATGCCGCGCTCCTCGTACTCCGGGTACATGGGACGGGCCACCGGCTCTGCCTGCCACTTGAACAAGAAGATCAGTCCGTAGATGGGCCTGCACACCACAAGAAGCGTTTGCGGCGCTTCAAGGGTGCGGCCATGATCGTTATTTGCAGAGCATTCCCCTCAGCGCTCCCCGCATCGCACCCCAGGGCCGAACTCCCTCCCGCCGTCAACCCACTCGAAAGCTTGCAGGGAGTCGGCATCCAGCGAGTACAGCTCCTCCACCTGCACGCATGGCGCTTGAGCTGAGACACTATCGAAGCCCATCGTGCGCATCGAACGGGATCTCCAGTAGACTCACCTGCACCCCCTTGACGCCAAGCCTCTCGATCAGTTCGGTGAACACGCCCGGGTCGCTCTCGATGGTGGTCCACGCCTCCCCAGACATGACAACCTGTTAATCTCTTGATGTAAACCACATGGACGACGTTTCGCGTTCGTCCTGCCCGTGCACACCTCGTGGTCTTATACATGCAGGCCACATCCGCGGAACCGTGCAAGGCGCGAAATTGGCAAAACGGGGGGGGTCCTGGGCTGCCCAGCAGCGGCCCCCAACCCAGGCAGGCTTTCAGTCAATCAGTACTGGAGAGGGACAGGTATCAATAATTAAATGCGAGGGGGGGGGGGGGAGGGGCCCGCGGCAGCCCCCCCCCCCCCTGCTCACGCCGTGGCCTCGACCGAGGACAGGTGGATGGCCCCCAGCTTCTGCTCGGCGAGGGTCACGGAGGAGGCGGCATCCCCCGCCGCGCCGCCGCCGTTCTCCTGCGCGCTGCGCTTGGCCGGCGAGGTGCACTGCTGGCTGCTGCCGTGGCGCCTGTCCGCCGAGGACGGGGAGCGCGTGCGCTTGGGCGACCTGCTGCCCCGGGAGGGGTTGGGGCGCCGGCCGTCGTCGCGCGGGGGCTCCACAGGCCCCGGGCCTGTGCTGGCCTCGCACTCGCCCACCCCCGCCAGCCAAGGGTGCTGCAGCATCTGGGCGGCGGTGGCCCTCTTGCTGGGCACGTATGCGAGCATGGGCAGCAAGAAGTCGCGGAGAGCCAGGGCCTGCAGAGGCGGGGAGGGTGGGTGGGTGGGAGGGGTGATTGCGTGCCACAGGCGTGCACCAGGACACAGCAGAGACTCTGCACAGAATCTGTGACGCTTCAGGGCGTCAGTATGGCAAGCACAGGTGCATGTCATATCCTATGTTGAAGTCTCAGGACCCCACAACCCGCCATCCCCTCCCCACACGACAATGGCTCAGAGAATTGTAGTCTATCGATTGCGCATCAGCCCCGAGGCGTAGCCAAGGGTATGCATCGTATGGTGTGTTTCCTCACTGCCAAGCGCCTGCTGGAGGCCCATGCCGGCCATGATCGAACCCCCTCTGCTGCTGTGTCCGGCCCATCCAAATGTAAAACATTCCCCACACCAGCCACTCACATCCTCGCGCGGGAGGTGGTACTTCTCCCGCAGCCACCCGGTCCACGCGGCCAGTGGTTGAGCCGGTGGATGTGGCGGCAGGCGGCCCGTCCCTCGGTGAAGAACTCGCGGGAGCGCTTGCCGCCCAGGGCCACAGCGCGTGGCATGCGATCCAGCAGCTCTATCATCTGATGATGTTGGTGAAGGGGGGGGGTGGGAAGCTGCTCAGCATGGCTGGTGTGGAGCCATTATACCGCGCCATGCACCTGATTGTCCCAGCACAGACCGGGGTCGATTCCAGGAAATAAGAAACCCCGTGTCGGACCTGTGCCAGGTGGTCTTCGTCCCGCGTGTACCCATGGCCCTGCTTGGGCTCGAATAAAAAGTCCCCGGTCGCCAGCTCAAACACCATGCAGGCCAGCGACCAGATGTCGGCCGAGGTGTCGTACCCCCCCCCGAGAATGACCTGGCAGGTGATGAGGGGAAGGAGGGGAGCACAGTGAGTTCCGGACATGATGGCTGAGAGCGTGTGAGGCCGCGCAGGTTCTGTAACTTAGAATGGGAGCGCCAAAGAGCTGCACATGCTGTGCAATGCGCAAGGCTTGGCAGCATGGCCCATGGTATGGAGCTCATGAGATTGCAAAGGTGAAGTGCATGAGTGTTTCAAGCAAAGAGGTGTTGGTGCTGAAAAAAGTAGAGTGACGGGGAAGGGGCCGGCCTGTCCCATGGGACAGGCCGGCCCGCCCAGGACGTCACCCGTCGCAATGCTACCCAATTGCTGTTGGCCGTGATCACGAGGGTGGCGGACACATGGCCCCGCCACAGGGGCAGGAACCAGTCAACCACCTAGATACCAAACGGCCTTGCATATGCTGGAGTATTGTTCTCACCCACGTCAAACCCCCGCCCAGCCGAGGTGGATATGCAACAAGGTCCAAGCGGGACAGCACAAGACCTGAGGGGGTATGCGCCTGTAACCAGGCCACACAGACACAAATTCAGTGCCTGTCCATCAGGTTTCCACGCCATATCCTCCTGCTCGTCCTCATATCCCTCCCTCGCCCTCCTCCGTCCCCAACCCAGCACACCTCGGGCGATCGGTACTGCCGCGTCTGGATGTCGTCCGTGAAGTGCTTGTGCACCCAGCAGGCATTGCCAAAGTCCACGACCTTGGCGGGCATGGTCAGCAGCCGCTGCTCCAGAGCCCGCAGGTCCACGCCCGGGGAGGAGGGCCGGGCCTTGGCGTCGGCGGCCCCGGCCTGCGCGCCGGCGTCGCCCCTGGTCTGCGCGTCGCCGTCGCTCGCCTGGCGCGCCGCATCCCCCCAGCCGGAGGTCTGCGCCCCGGCCGCCTCCTCCTCCTCCTCCCCCTCGCTCTCGGCCTCTGCGCCGGGCCCCCGCCCCTGCTTCTTCTTCAGGTTCTTCTTCTGCGCGCGCGTCAGCGGCACTCCCGCAGCGACCAGCCCCGCAATCTTGCCCTGCGCGGCGGCAGGCACGGCCGGCGCCGGCGCCGCGGCCGCGCGCCGCGGGCGCACCGGGTCGCGCAGCATCACGTTCTCCGGCTTCATGTCGGTGTGGATTATGCCCGGCCCGCTGTGCATGTGGTCCAGCGCCACCAGCACCTGCCGCGTCAGCGCGCGCACCACGGGCAGCGGGATGCCGCGGTGGTCGTATAGGCGGATGAGGGTCAGCAGGTTGTCGCCCAGCACCTCGAACAGCATGCAGACGTGGCGCCCATGCGGGCCCACGTGATCGAAGGAGTCCAGCAGGCGCGCGCAGCAGCAGGCGTCGGCTGGGTCCGACTCCCGGATCTGGCGCAGCAGCGTGATCTCGTCACGCGCCGCCTCGGCATAGTGCGGCGCCGACTTCACCACCTTGAGCGCGCCCAGGCCGCCGGTGTGGGTGTCGCGCACCATCCACACCGTAGAGAAGTGGCCCCAGCCCAGCTTGTGCAGCACCTCGTAGCGACCATCCTTGAAGGTCTCGCCGATGTGCACGCGGTGGTACCCGCCTGGCGAGACGGTGGGATTGAGGAGGATGAGCAGGAGCCTCTGGCCCGGGGAAGGCCTCGGAAGGGCAAGCAGGCTGCATAATGCACGGCGAGCCACAGATGAAGGGCCCGACAGGTGAGCCGCTTCTGGGGGGAGTCACCCAAAATCAAATGCATGGCCCCCTCCCATTCAATTCACAGCACAGGCACCTCACCCTTGCAGTAGTCCTCCTCGTCCTCCTGATCGTCAGAATACGACCCTGAGGCGCTGTCGGGCTCCGTGGAGCTGGTTGAGGGATTGCGATGCTTGTCTGTGGGAGAAAGAGGGGGGGTTCAGGAGGGGCAAGCTTCTGTGCAGGCCGCCGGGGCTTCCAGGTCGACCGCGTGGGGACGGGCACAATCCCCATTTCTCACCGTGCTTCTTGCCAGTATGATGGGAGTGGGAAGACTTTGGGATCGGCATGCCTTGCGGCCGATGGAAGGGGTGAAGCTGCCGGGACCAGAGTACGTGTTTGCGGCCCTCGAACAGCCTCAAGGGAGGACGGGAGGGTCGTACGCTCCCTCCTCACGGTCCCTAATCCCCTCTCTGATTATTTGTATCACGGACACTGATGACGTACGGCGTCGAGCGCTGGCAGCTTGCATTGAGATGCGCTCCCCTCACAGAGCACGGGCAGGCGCAGCTGGAGATGGGGGCTTTTAGCGCGGGAAAATCCTGGGACAGGGAGGGGCGGCCTGCCATACAGGCAGAGCTCCAGAACCTCATCAGGCGAATCCAGGGACTCGGCCATCCCTCTTCGCAACTCCGTGCCTTGCTACCACAATCTGCGAGGTGCGTCTGCGTGCTGGCACCGACACTGCTGTCTTGGCTGCGGCCGATGGGCGAGGCTGCCGGGTCGGCACAACGAATGCAAGAGACCTCTTCGCTCCCCCCTTGCAGGCTCATCCTCGAAGACGAAAGACTAGGGAGGCAGTTCACACCTGTCGAGGACCAACATGTCTGACGGGTGAGGACGTGCTGCTGCGCTGCTGGTATATAGAGCACACCCCTGCGGGACGCCCATGGCTCGCCGGCACTCCAGATTTCGCGCATCCCCAAATCTGACTTCCACCTTCCTCACCTCCCTCTTGTGCAGAGGGGATAGCCCACGTGCCGCTCCCGCGGCGGAGCCCGTCGCTGCCGCCCCCGGCGAGCCTATGGACGTGAACACCGCCGTGCAGCAGGTACTGAAGAAGGCCCTGGCCCACGACGGTCTGTCCCGCGGCCTGCACGAGGCTGCTCGCGCCATCGAGCGCGGCCAGGCCCAGCTGGCTGTGCTGGCCGACGACTGCAACCAGCCCGACTACAAGAAGCTGATCGAGGCTCTCTCCGCCGAGCAGGGCGTGTCCCTGATCTCCGTGCCCGAGGCCTCCGAGCTCGGCAAGTGGGCCGGCCTGTGCAAGATCGACGCTGAGGGCGAGGCCCGCAAGGTGGTCAAGTGCTCATGCGCAGTGGTCACCGACTACGGCGAGGAGACGCCCGCCCTGGTGGTGCTGCAGGAGTACCTGAAGTCCCGCTGAAAGGGGACCCAGAAGCTGATGAGCTGGGAGGGGGTGACCTCGGCGGAGCGTGCGTACGGCGGCGACGGGAGGGAGTTAGCAGCCCACCTTGGAGTCTGTGCAACTCTCGCCCACATGTATGCGGCCATGTGCATGCGCTGGTCATGCGGTGTAACCCTGCTCCCTGCTGCGTGCAGCCACTGGTTTTGGAGTTTGGGGGACGGAAGGGAACGGTCCTGCAGCGCCGCACGTGTCCAGGACACGCCACCGCCGTGACAGATTCTGGACGGGTGCTGGGGGCCCGCAGTGAACTACGTCTGCAAGTCGACAAACCGAATCTGCACTGAGTGCTTCGTGGACGCTTGTAGCGGTCTGATCATAGATTACAAGGGCCATGCTCCCAACCCAGGCTGCCAGCAGGCGCCTCAGCGCGTGAGGTCCAGTAGGGAGTACAGGTCCGAGCGCTTTTGGTCGTTGTACGGCACCCCCTTTCGCTGCTCCGCGATTTGGTCCAGGTCCACCTCCGCGTGAATGATCGCCTCGCTTTCCTCGGCCGCAGCCACCACCCGCCCAAAGGGGTCCACCAGGGCAGAATGGCCCCAGGAGTGGTAGCCAGCGGAAAGGTCGCGTGCCGGAGCCACTCCAGCCACATACAACTGGGATGTGATGGAGGTAGGAGGGGGATGTGATGGAGGTAGGAGGGGGATGTGATGGAGGTAGGAGGGGGATGTGATGGAGGTAGGAGGGGGATGTGAATTGTGCAAGTACAGGATGTCGCTTGGGGACCAACAGGGATGTCAACTGGGTCAGACAGCGGCCAAAACCCTCCTCGTCGGAGGATGCCCGCACTCGCAAGGCACGCATTCAGCCTCGAACGCCAGCATGCCTGTGCATCCACGGCCCTCGCTCGCAGGAGGAGCTCCCAGTGCGCCGGGCCCGTGGTCATATTGAAGGCGCCTGTGCGCGGATGGGACACGATAGCCTGGGTGGGGCCAGCTGAAATTCGGGCCTCAGGACGACAGGGACGGTCCCACGAGGCACGCAGAGGGTCAAGCTGGAACTCGTCGGTGCCTCCTGCCTCACTGCACCTGGGTAGACGAGGAGCTGGCAGCCCCGCGCGGCATAGAGGGCCGCTAGCTCGGGGAACCGGATGTCGTAGCAGATTGCCACCCCGATGCGACCCAGCTCGGTGTCGATGACGGTCAGGTCGGACCCGGGGGTCAGCACCTCCGATTCCTTGAACCTGATTTTCCCAGGGATGTCAATGTCAAAGAGGTGGACCTGGTGGGAATGAGGTGCAGGGTGGTGAGTGACCCAGGTGAGCTGAGGCGATGTCTTGCGCAAACAGGCGTAGGATGGAGCATGCGTATGGGATCATTCTGACATCCTCGATCCCTACCCCAGATTTTCCACCTTGCGATGCCGACCCAGGAGCTCCCCTTTGGAGCCGTAGACAAAGGAGGTGTTGAACAGCTTGCCCTCCGAGCGTTCCGGGATGGAGCCGCCCACCAGCACAATACTGTTGGCTGCGGCAGCGTCGGAGAGCATGGCGGTGGAGGGCGACTCGCCCCCGCCCACCTCCTCAGCGTAGACTGGGAAGCTATCGTTGGAGTAGGGTGAGTTCCAGATCTCAGGAAGGATCACCAGGCGGGCGCCCTCGCCCGCTGCCCTGTCGATGACCTGGCGAGCATGCTGGATGTTTCGCTCCTTGTCCGCACCCACAGCCAGCTGGCAAAGTGCCAGCTTGAACTGCGTGGGGGTACAAGAATGTCGGGACGAGGAGAACGATCAGTCTGGGGGAACGCACATTGCGGTAGCATAGTGCCCCGCATGGTTGAACACTCGTGGGTGGGGGATTCGTCACGTGCAACAGGACGAGTCATCCCATGGATCCTCACCCGCACACCTTGGATTTGGAGGGGGTGGGGGGTGCGATGCGATCTGTGGTAGCATTCACCGCCGTCGCCATCGTTCTGAGGGGTGATGACAGCGGCCCGATGGGGCCAGTGCTGGCACGCTGAGGGGTCTTCGCAAGGCCGGGCGCTGCTGCAGAGATTCCACACGCAAACCCTGTATGGATCAGGTGAGGCATAGATTTAAGAAGTGATCGGAGTTTGGACATGACAACCTATCGTGGGTGCATCCAAACTCAGAGTAAATGTGCGCCAATCCGCGGCCCTACCCCACACCCGGCTCCGGAAGACTGTCGTCGCGCCCTGGCCCGTGCTTTCCAATGTTGGTTTTTGTTTTACGGGTGCCTGTCCGATCGTGCGACGAAGATGCGGGGCATCACAGTGCAATTCGCTGGTAATATACTCTGTACAGAAGGTGCACACATCAACAGCCTTGTGTTTTCCTTTCGAAGAGGTCTGTGAGCGCCCTCCCATACGATTTTCGATGCTCGACTTCATCCCCGCCCACCGCTCGACAGAGGGCATTGTCTCAGGCCTAAAACAGGCCTTGCGGGAAGCTGCACATGACAGTGACCAGGCTCAGCCTCAACCTTCGACAACTCAGCTCACGCTTCAAGTATCGGCCCTCCACAATGCTTTCCTTGCATTGTCAGATGCATTCACAGAGAGCTTGGGTAGGTGGTGGCTGTGGGGCTCAAACTCTTGGTCATTTCCATGCAATGTGCAGCTTCATCATGGCGTACAGTTACTATCCAGAGTCCTTCCAAGAGCGGAGCACGCATGCCTCGAGTCACTCACCAGCCCTGCATTTGCTCTCACAGAGGTCAGCCGTCGCAAGGAGCTGCAGTGGGAGGCTGCCATGCAGGCCATCCAACAGAGATTTGCCAGTGAGGTAGCTGCTGTGGAGGCTCTTCGAGATGACTACCACCAACTAGCGTCGAAGAATGCCGGCCTACACAAGGAAAACTGCTGGCTGCGAGCAAGGGTCGAAGGACTGGAGGGGAGCATCAGCAGGTGTGAGCTTCAGTTTCGCAAGTCTTGCATTCCTCAAGGAATCATGTCAGGTTGCATTTGTAATGCCAAATGCATCAGCTCAAATTCCTGACACAAGCTCACATTCTGCTGCTCCCTCACTTGCTCCCTGCCCACGCCAGGCTGGATACCGAGCTCTGGAAACAGGAGCGCCAAATATGGGACGTCAGCCAGGAGGTGAGCATGGCTATCGAGGCCGACCTGCCAGCTGCCTGTGAGTTTGCTGCAAAGGAGTGGGCCGAGCAGCACCTGCCCGGCTTGGCAAGGACCGCGCTCGCCGACATCAACAACAAGCTTGTTGAGGAGGGTTCTGAACTCAGCAGTGCACCTGCTGGAGATGTGGACCACTCTGGTCCGTCCCATTGGAGGAACTACAGCTTATGAAAGGAAATGGATTCAATGATCTGACGACGGCACTTGTGACTCATCATCTCACTCAGTGCTCCACAACCCTGAGATATGCATTGGTGACTCCCATTTGGGGAGGCTTGGTGCTTTCAGAGCTGTAAAAACAGGAGCATTTGTACAGGGGAAGGAGTGCATGCCTGTCCCTGGGGTTGTCAAAAAGCGCATTACTCACAGGTCAGGGGATTTGTACTGCTGAAGAATGTATGGAATTGGGCACACCCCATTGGGAGTCGACCAACTCCCCCCAGCAACAGTCAGGACATGGGTTGCTTCGGTTGACATTCGTGGTGGGATGCTTTGGGGAGAAGAAAAGACAGTCAGAGCCACCACCCAACCAGCTCAGGGTGCCCAGGCCGGGCGATGGCCGGCGGCACGCTCCCTCAGGCTGCCTATGGTACACACGCCTACAATACAGCAACACTCTCCGACACAGCACGGCTCCAGGTGCTACGCAGCACCTGCAGTCCCGGCTGACTATGGGCCCAGCGGGGGCCGACCATGCTCCCATGCAGCATTGCCGACTCAGGCCGCAGAGCCCTGCGGGCAGAGGCGCACCGCGGCGCGCAGCGCCAGCTCCGGCTCCGGCCAGTACCCCCACACCGGCTCCACCTGCGCCAGCCAGCGCTGGCGCTCGCGCGGCGACGCGGCGCCGTCCTCCTGGACCCCGGCTGCGTCTGCATGACGCTCACCGTCGACCGCCGCGTCGCTGTCCTCCCCGGGCGAGCCAGCCACCTCCCCCTCGCGCTCCAGCCAGCCGTAGCGCCGGCCCAGGTCCCAGCGCTCCGCCTCGCGCAGGGCGGGGACGCTGGTGGGTGCGGCGGGCGAGGCCCCGCCCGGCGCCTCGCCGTCGCTGCTCTCGTCGGCGTCGGGGCCGGGGCACGCGGCGCCGGGGTCGCGCGCGCCAGGCCCGGGCACCTCGTGCGTCATGAGCACGCCGTCCGCGCCCGCCGTCAGCAGGCGGGCGCCGGGCTCGGCGCCCCAGCTCGCCACGCAGGGGAAGGGCGGGGGGCCGGCGCCCGCGATCGCGCGCGCCGCGCCGTCGGCGGCGGCCGCCACGCGGCTGCCGCGCAGCAGGCCCGGGCGCCGTGCCCGGCCGACGGCCGCGACCCGCGGCGGGGCGCTGATCCTCTCGTCGGCGCCGGGGCGCGCGGCGTCGGCCCCCGCGGGCAGCTCGAAGACGTGCGCGGTGCCGCGGCCGGAGACGGCGACGCACCTCCGCGTGTCGGGCGAGAAGGCCAGGCCCTGGATGGAGGCCGGGGTCAGGCCCCGCACCAGGCACGCCAGGCACTGCACCGGCGAGGGTCGCGCTGTGGCATCCGGAGCGGCCCCTGCCGCGCGGCCGGTGGGCGTGACCACCCGCCACACACGCACGCTGCGCCCCGCGGTCGAGGCCGTGGCCAGGAGCATGCCGGAGGGGTCGAAGGCCAGCGCGGCCAGCGCCGAGGTGTGCGCCCGGAAGTGCGCGACCACGCGGAGGCCGCCCACCTCCCTCACCACCACCGTCCCAGGCACGAGGGCGTCGGCGACGGCGACGGGTCCCTCGGCGCCGGACCCGGGTCCGGGCCCTGCGCCGATGCCGGCCCCTGCCGACGCCGCGTGGCCCTGCCCGCCGCGCCATGCGGCGAGCTGCGTGGAGAGGTAACGGTACCCCGCGCCGCCGGCGGCCGCCAGCGTGCGGCCGCCGCGCTGCACCGCGTCGCGCGCCAGGTCGGAGGCCGCCGGGAAGCTGTGGCCGCCGCCGGCGGGGGAGGGAGCGGTCCGCGGCGCTGGCGCCCGGGACGGGACCGGCGTGATCCTGGTGGCCGTGACCCCAGACTTGGCGCAGGGTGTCGCCTGCAGGGTGACGGGTGGAAGGGAGGGTTGATGAAGGAGCTTGGGTGCACGATCACCACGCCAAGGTTCATCCAAACGCCAGGGGAGCACGCCTGACGCGGCCGACAGCAAGAGCAGCGAATGCTGGGGTGGGTGGAGCACACACGCACCTGGGGCGAGGGGTATGCCAGCCATGCCGGGCCCAGGGCGAAGGGCACCGCGGCGGGGAGGGGGGTGGCGGCCTCATGGCCATTTGAGTTCACGGAGGGGTGGGGCAATGAGGGCGGGCTGTAGGCCAGGCAGGTGAACTTCTGCTCCAGGGTCACGGCGTCAAAGGCGGCCAGCTGGCCCGGGAAGGAAATCAGGAGCAGGCGGCGCGAGGCGGCCAGCGCCAACGCCGGCGCCGACAGCGCCAGGCTGTGCACCGTGGCGTGGGATCGCAGCGAGTAGAAGCGGAGTGCGGGCGGGGGGTCGGGGTGGGCGGGCGTGGACCCCGGGGCCAGCACCAGGACTGGGTGCATGCCCGCCAGAGGGCTGTCGGGCACCACCGATGCCACCGCCATTGCCGGGGCGGCGGGGGGAGCCAGCATGTCCAACAGCCTATGGGGTTGGTGAGGGGTTGAGGCCTATGAGCCAGGAATGCAGAGGGACTTGTGCATCCTGGGAGTCTGTTGCGATGATCAGGCTTGGACAGTATCAATGCAAGGATCTGACGCGTGGGCGAGCAAGGTCCTACTTCCAAGAAGGAACCCGGACCCCCACACACCAGAAACACACACCTGACGGGTCCGTCACGCCGAGACACGAGCTCCAGGGGCTCGGAGGAGTTTTCCAGGCTCCAAACTTGGAAACCAGTCTCGTAGGCCACCAGGAGCACGGGCGACCCGCCCTGGCCTTCCAGGCTGGCAAACCTTACGGCAGTGACCTTCTCGCGGTCGGTCGCGGTGAGAGCACCGACACCCGCGACCGCGGCTCGGGCCACCTTCGATCCAGCGGATGACAAGGCAGACAGCCCAACCACTAGGGATCTGCCGGCCAGCTGACGGGCACGATCTCGGTATGCCTCCATCCGAAGCCCAACGAGGGTGGGGGGCAGGCCTCGCTGGGGTATCACCCCTCGACCATGCTCGCTGCGCTGCAGACACCTTGAGATTGGCAAGACCGAACGACACGGCCGGTGAAATCAGTGTCGGTGCAATGACAGGCACACACCCATCTGTTGGCCCTTCCGAAAGTTTTTGACTGTACTTTCCTTGGGGGTCCCCTCCTCATCCGCAAATCCATCTGGGTGGCAACTCCTGGGAGCGACACTCGTGGGCAACCAACGTTTGGCTATGACAATCTTGTTTGTGTGTAGATGCAGAATGATCCACATACCATGCATACGCGTGAGCAGAGAGGGAAGCGCGGCTGCACCTCAGAACTTGACAGACTTGGAGATGCGAGACTTGATGCCGGTGGCCTCTCCGCCGTAGCTCCCAGCTGCGCCAGCCTTTACGCCCTGGACTTGCCCCTTCCGCCGCACAGTGGCTTCGTCGAACTTGATCCTGCACGGTGACGGGACAGGGGTGTGGGGGGTGTGGGGTGTGGGGTGCAAGGACCGGGTGATGCCACTTTAAGAGAGATCAGCCGACACCACAGTGCCACTGGTGGCCGCTTCGCCACTGGGCCCCACACCTGTTCTTCTTGCGCGGGTTCTTGAGATCCCGACGCCGGTGCGGGGTGAACCCGCGATTCTTCTCGATGGCTGCACGGGGCAAAGGGGTGGCACAGGGCAATCAAATTCTGGAGAGACTGACCAAACAGCCGCACACCCGAGCTGGCATGCACAGGCTTGGCACTCGTCCATCGATCGCCAAGCCTCTCAACCATCACAATCCATGCCGCTGGCAAATGCCAAACAGCCTCTCGTGCCCCTCACCGGTGGTGATCCCGCGGGCACCCGGGGCCTGGGGTTCCTCCAGCGGCACTTGGGTGTCTGGGTACTTGTATGCTTCCTTTGCCACACGCCGTGCCTCCGCTGCGAGTCAGAGGTGATGAGAACTTTGAGATGGGCTCATGACATCCTCTTCGACTCCTGGAGTGCAAACCAAACCATCCCCAGTGGCAAATGCAACCTCCCTCCTGCCCAATGTTATGGCCCCTGTGCAGTGCTTGCAACCAGGCCCCCCCAGAACAAGCTCCCTCACCCCCTCACCCTTGGAAGCCTTGACGGAGGCGTAGAACTCGTCCTCCGTGCGCGCCAGCTCGCCGCCGGCCGACTTCTCGCCGCTCGTGCGCTGCGCCTTCTTGGCCGCGACGCTGTCGAAGGCGGCGCGGCGCTTGGCCAGCGGCTCCCGTGCCGGCAGGTCGGCGTCGCCCGACCGCGGCCGGGCCGCGCCGGCGGCCGAGGCGTCCCCGCCCCAGCGCTGCCCCGTGCGGTGGCGCTGGAAGTCGCCGCCCAGCCCGCCCTCCAGCACCGACGCCACATCCTCGCGGAAGTCGTCCAGCAGCGCAGCGCCGGCGAGGCCCGCGCGGCGCGCTGCGCGCTGCGCCTTGCCCTCCTCCCGGCTCAGTGGGACGCGCAGCATCAGGTCCTCCTCCACCGCCTCGCGTGCCGCCAGGCGGTGGCGCTGGCGCACCGCCGCCGCGCTGTCCATCCCCGTCAGCGTCTCGCGCAGCTCCTCGGGCGCGCCCTCCACCTCGCGCGCGATCTCCGACAGCTGGCAGGGGGGGAAGATTGGAAAGGGTGAACACGGTGGGGTCGAGAGGGGTCGTTCGAGCGGGCAGCAGGCAGCGGCGACCGCATCCCCCCATAAGCGAAAGCGGCAGGTTCGTATGGTGTCATTCCACGTCCGCGCCCCAAACCACCACAAAGCTCCAAACCCTCCCGTAAACACCCCCCTCCCCATCACACATCCAGCCCTCCTTCCCCCTGCTCACCAGCGTGCTGCGGCCGGCGCGACGCGCCTTGTGCACCAGGTGCCGCTCCTGCCGCTCCGTGGCGCGCCCCTCCTCCATCTCCATGGACACGGGGTTGAGGCGGGGCGGGCGGTACAGCCCCGTCCCGCCCACCCGCGCCTGCTCCGCGGCCTCCTCCTCCGCGGCGGCCAGCAGCTCCTCGCCGCCCTCGCCGGCGGCGGCGGCGGCGAGGGCGTCTCCCTCCGCCAGCAGCGCCTCGGGACGGGGGCCGTGGGCCAACGACCCCGGGCCCGCGCCGGCCACGGCGCCGGCGGCGGCCAGTAGCTTGTCCATTTGGTGCCGCAGGCGCTTGTCGATGGGCCGCACCCTCTCCAGGTAGGCCTTGATCTCCACCAGGCGGGCGATGACAGGGTGACCCGCCACCTGGCGCCCCTCCGCCTTCAGCAGCAGGTACACCACGATGCCAATGCAGTACTGAAGCAGGAGCAGGTGCTTGGCCTCCAGGTAGGACAGGCCTTCCGCCGTGGCCAGCTCCCCCTCCCGCACCTCCTTCAGCAGCGGGCCCACGCGGTGGCGCACCTCCGCCAGCGACCCGCGCAGCTCCGCCAGGAGGCCCGCCAGCTCGGGCGCGGCCTGCGCGGCCGCGGCGGCGCGCTCCGCCTCTGTCAGGCCCGCGATGTCGCGTGGGACGAACTCCACGTCCCCGGCGCCCTCCCCCTCGCTGCCGTCCTCGCTGGAGGAGGGAGAGTCTCCTCCCTCCGCCACGCCGTAGTCCTCGGGGTCCAGGCCCGACAGCACGGCGCTCTGCAGGCGACGGGCCTCCTCCTCCTCCTCCTGCAGTGCGTCCTCCTCCTCGGACCCCTTTGGCAGCAGTAGGCGTGTTAGGGGGGCAGGTTGGGGGGTGTTGGGGGCAGAGCAGCGGTGCACAGCCAATCTCGTGGCCACACAGACGGCATCCTTGAATTGCACGCCAGTATCCCAGACTGTTCCTCCCAGCATCATGCACGGCTCAAGGAGCCTCCGCAGAGTATACCACCTGCTGCTCGCTCCCCAGGCAACGACCACCCCGGCTCGCACCTCCAGATCAATGTTGTCGGCGTCGTAGTATGCCCGCTTGTTGCCCCATCGCCCCTCGCCGTGCTTACCCTCCTCCTCCTCATCATCGCTCCCGCTCTCGCCCTCATCCTTCTCGCCACGCGCGATGCGAAGCTTGGCCTCCAGAGTCTTTGCTTGCCGGGCGACTGCACAGTGGGGAAGGAGGTGTGAGTCCCGGACGCCCTACGCACTCCCTGGAGGCCAAGCTGTGCCCATACTCAGCCCTACTCACGTGCGGCGTAGCGCTCATCGGCGGCAAACTCCTCGTCCTCGGAGTCGTCGTCGCTGGCGGCATCAATGTCGAAGACGGCATCCTCGATGGATTCCACGTCCGACACCTCATCCTCCTCTCCGTGCATCGCCAGCTCTTCACTTTCGCTGCCATCTGAGTCCTTCGGCGGCTCAGCTTGAGGTGCGCGTCCCTTACGAGGGGCAGACTTGCCCCTCTTGGGTGGAGCGCGCGCCATGTGGAGGACCACTGCGCGACACCTACCCGATGCAGTCTATACAGGTACAAGAAGTGCGAGTTAGCAGATGAATTGGAGGTGTAGTAGTATGTATATGCATGGATGTGCATGCATGCTGACTCCTGCATGGTGGGTTCCTGGCCGCCTGCTGTGGCATGCTCGGCTCGGCATTTTGGCTCGGCAGCGCATCCACGACGCAGATGCCCCGGCACTCGGCCAAAGCCAGCACATTCTCCTCTCGCGTTGACTGGTGTACAAACAGGCTCATGAAACTCAGCCTGGAGACTTCCTGCTGATTGGCCTTCCCTTTCCTTGACTGACCGACTCCTCTCATTCTGTGTCGGGTGGCGTGGAGCCGAACCTCGCAGTAGTCGGAAGCCCACCTCTCTGGAGTGACATCGGGCAGCCAGTCGGACGGCAGTCTCTTGGAATCAAGCTCCTCCTTTGTGACATCCAAAAGTGTCATCGGACGGGAGCTTGCTGCGTCAGGCCCCTCCTCAAATTGTGCCGGCGGTCCTCCTCTCTTAAATGTCCCTCAACCCCTTCGCCAGCGACTGGACGCCAGGTCGAGGCAAATACAGTGCTCCCACCCAGTCCAGGGACATAAGGAGTCGTTCAAAGATCGATGCGAACGCTGGGAAGCCTGCAGACCCGTCGCCGTTCACCAACACCACTGCATCACCCATCCCGATGCCTTCCCCCACGCTTGGCCGGAGTCAGCCGTCCCTGGATAGAGAAGGCGAGCTGGACTTTGATGTGGGCTTTGACTCTATCCCAGAGGCCACAAGCGGACCCAGCACCCCCTCTGGCAGCGTGAGTGGGTGGTGCAATGTTGTGCAGCTGCCTTTGTGGCTGCGTCAGGGGGTCCGCCAAGCATCCTGTTGGCAGCGCCTGCAGACAGCATGAGGCTGATGCTGGGGGCATTCTGTCTGTTCTGTCAAACACAAGTGGACCTCAACCGCGACCTCGGTTCCCCTCTCTCGTACAGCTCGTGGGCCCCTCCGCACTGCCCTCCCGCTGCACGTCGGTGGAGCCCAGCCCCGGAAAGGCCATCAGCCTGCTGAGGGCCACCGAGGATGTCCTGCCCCCAGAGCCGGTGGTGGAAAGCACCGCCTATGTGTCTGAAGCCACGACTCATGCCGAGACGAGGACCTCTGCCCAGGCATCAACATCGGGCAGGAAGCTGGGACCAGCTGATTTCGAGCTGCTGCGAGTGGTGGGCCAAGGTGCCTTTGGCAAGGTGTTCCAAGTCCGGAAGCGTGACACGCAGGAGATCTTTGCCATGAAGGTGAGCACTGCATGGGGGTGCTGCCTGCCCGCTGCAGTGCCCAGCAGTGTGTGAGTGTTGCAAGAGTGTGGCCTCATGGGAGTATTTCTAGCGTCTGTGTCCATCAGCAATGATGAAATCCACCAGACAGAGCTTCTGGAGGTGCAGTAAGCCCTCAGCTTGCCCCACCGCGGTCTCTACTTCGCCCGTTGACCTCCATGCCCGCCACCCGCCAGGTCATGCGCAAGGACAAGATCAGGGAGCGCGACCATGGCTCCTATGTCCAGGCAGAGAGGGATGTGCTGACCGGGGTCATTCACCCCTACATTGTTACCCTCCGCTACTCTTTCCAGGTGGGTGGCCTCTTGTGCTGCTTGGTGAAGCAGAGAAGTGGTGTGGGTATGATGACACAGGTGTCAGTGTCCCTGACGGCTGCTCCCAACATGTCAAATGGAACGCCAAAGGCTGCCCCGGCCCAGGAGCGTCCGAGCCCTGGCGCCTCGCCGCGCCTCGTCCTCCTGTCAGCGTTGCTCGCTCCATTCTCCCCCTCCTCAGACCCCGCTCAAGCTGTACCTGGTCCTGGACTTCATCAACGGCGGGCACCTCTTCTTCCAGCTGTATCGCGCAGGGACATTTGACGAGGCGCAGGCACGCCTGTACACCGCCGAGATCGTGCTGGCCATCGCCCACCTACACAGCCTCGGATTTGTGCACAGGTGTGCGTGTGTGGTAGGGGTGCATGGGAGGGGGATAGGGGTGGTGTGTTGACTCCACTTGTCATCCCTCAGCGGGCAGGGCCGGTGCTGCTGGTGCCCATCATCGTCCTCCTTCTCACCATGAAGCTGCCTCTCACCCATCCCCCAGGGACCTGAAGCCGGAGAATGTGTTGCTGGACTCCACGGGCCACCTGCGTATCACCGACTTTGGGCTGGCCAAGGGGGGCATGGGGGACGAGGAGCACCAGCGCAGCAACTCCTTCATCGGCACCATGGAGTACATGGCGCCGGAGGTCATCCTGGGCCATGGGCATGGCAAGGCCGTGGACTGGTGGAGTGTGGGCATCCTGCTGCATGAGATGCTGTGCGGGGTGCCGCCCTTCCGCGCCAAGTCGCGTCCGGCCCTCCAGAAGGCCATCACCACCGCCAAGTTCAAACTGCCGAGTGGGTGACAGGGACGAGGGGGGTGGGGGGGGCCCAGTGGAAGGGGACATGTGTGGCGTGCTCGCAAGGCGACTGCATGAAGGTGGCTGCTGGGAAGCCTGCACCGCATCGGCGGGAAAGGGGGGGTTGTTTACCACAGGCTCCCAGTCTCCAGCCAAGAACCATCTGCTCACTTTTGGAGCCCAAATCCTGGAACAGGCTACCTGAGCACGCCCGCCGCCAACCTGGTCAAGGCCCTGCTCCAGAAGGACCCCACCAAACGCCTCGGGTATGGCCCCGCTGGCAGCGCGGACATCAAGGCGCACCCCTTTTTCAGGTCCATCAACTGGGGCCTGCTGGAGCAGCGCAAGGTGGCGTCGCCCTTCCTGCCCAGCGTGAGCCACGTGGAGAGTGTGGAGAACTTTGACCGCATCTGGACAGACCTGCCGCCACAGGTGGGTGAGGGGCAACTAGTATCTAGGTGGGGTGAGAGGGTGCTTGGCAAGAATGGGAACACAGCTTCCCTTTCCTCCAGTCATACAAGCTATCCCTACAAAGGGTGACTCGCGATCCTACACCTCCTCTCACATCAAGTTTCCATCTTTGCCCTGCACCCAGGACTCGCCGTGCGTCACTCCCCGTGATGGATCCCTGAGCGTCGATGACAATCTGTTTGTGGGTTTCACCTATGTGGCACCCTCGCTGCTGGCCAACCTGAAGCTGGCAGACCTACCGAAGAACCCCGAATCACGCAGTTAGAGCGTAAGCAGTCGCTAACATGACCCACGGCACAAAGCCTGTTGAACTCTCTTGTCTCTCGCGTTGTAGATTATTTGACGGGGTAGACGCAGACCAGGCATCTTGGGGGACATGCATCGTTGTGCGCAGGGATGCCACTCCTGCCTCCATATGCGCGCAGACAAGGTTTGTCCGTGCTACTGATGAACATGCTGGGTCGTGGCAGCCTCATCTGGAGGCTCGTCGCTCAATGACTACCAGGCGCCGTGTGAGAGCGTGCTGCAGGCTTCTAGCGCGCTCAAAGGTGTAAACTCTGAAGGCTTTCCGAGGCCAGGTGGCGCTCTGTCAGGAACTCATGCACCTGGGCTTCTCTCCAAGCATTGCCTGTGACACCATTACAGCATGATCCGATACGGTCAGTCTTGATACAGAGTGGTGGTCTCTGACTTGGCCACGTCCTTCATTGCTGCTCGGATCTGGTGCTCCCAGCGGGGTGGGATCTTCACCGCATTGCCTTCCATGACTGACGGTGCAGGCGCGGGGGCAACTGACTCGCCCTTGCTCAGCGCCTCCAACAAAGCCTGTAGGGAGGGGGATGGAGATGGTACAAGAGTACTGTCATGAATTCCTTTGGAATATATGGATGGACGCCTTCATTGGTCCATCCCAGGATCGACATGGACCCTCCTGCACTTGCACACCGAGGCTAAAACTCGGAGTGTATCTTCAATGCAGATAGCTTTCTCCCAGACCAATTGTCCCCTCGACCCCAAGCGAATGCAACACCACACGACCCACCAATTTGTCGCTGCCGCCTCCCATGGCTCCTCGCCCTTGGCTGCTGCCGCCGTCAAAGTCCACTGATCGAGATGGATCAGTAGGATACCGTCTCTGGCAAAAGGTCATCATCCGTTTCAGGGCCTGGATGAACTTTCGCGTCGCCTCATCATTCATAATGTGTGCCTGGCAGGAGACGTGGCTTATACGTGTGAGGCATCAAAGTAGCCAGAGGACAGCTTTGCAAAGAGCCTGTACACCACCTTTCCATGCACTCAAGGCAGAAAAGGCCAGTACTGGATACCGCAGTCGGTTACTATAGGCACTGTCTACAAAGTGACTCTCTCTAATCCACCACAAATTCACGATCAATACTTGGCTGAACACCCCCCAGCCCCCTCTCCCTATCAACAAAGCCCACAACCACACACCGTGCTCATGGAGCTTTTGAAGGAGATTTTTTCGCGGGCAGAGCGCTCGTGCAGGCCGACCTGGGTCACGCCGATGGGCCAGGGGCTGTTCCCGATGGCCAGGCCCATGTAAATCTTGTAGGCATGCAGGTAGTTGCGCTCCGCCATGGCCTCCACGATCATCTTCAGCCCCGCCAGCATCTCCGGCTCCAGGCTGCGGTTGCGCAGGCGCGCAAACAGGGGGCGCAGGTACTGCACGGTCTCGCGGTACCGGAGCGTGGCCTGATAGCCGGCGGGGCTGGCCTGGTCCTCCTCGGACCGAGCCTCCAGGTCCGCCTCCCAGTCAGCGCACCAGCCGCGCAGCCGGCGCGCCAGCCGGTCCTCCAGCGGCAGGTTGGTAGCCGCAAGCGAGTCTGCCGCGGCACGGAAGGAGGCCATCAGGGCCTGCGGGGAGAAGAGGGGTCAATGGGTAGACTTGTGGGTTGCAGTGGCCAGTGGGGAGACCATGGGCTGCAGCAGACACTGCAAGGGAGGGACCAGAGGCACCAGGACATGGGCCGAGAAGGGGTGGGTCCTGATTGCACCCCACCTTTCCCTCTCTCCGGAGACCCAAGCATATGCCACCACCAGCCCCTTCACCCGGACCAATCACGCGCGCACCTGCCGCTCCGGGTCGAGTTCGGCGCCGGCGGGGGCGGCGGCCTCCTCGGGTACTGCAGTCCCGCCCTCCCCCGTCCGCCGAGCCTTCTTCGCGGCGCGTTGCTGCCTCGCAAACTCGATGTTGAAGTTAGCCTGCTGACCACCCTCGGTCTCGTCATCCACCGTCAAAGTTCGCTGTGCCTCAGCCAGCCGCTCGGCGCGAGCCTCGTCGCTCTCACCAAAGAGGGTCGCCGGCTCTTTGAGGCGCCGGAGCCTGCGAATGACCTCCTCCCGGGTCAGCTGGGGTGTGTCTGTCTGTAAGCCTGTGCGGGAGCCTGCGGCTGCCGCCTTGTCCTGGCGACTCGAGGGCCTCGGCTTGGACGTGCTGGCGGTCGCCTCGCCGTCCTTGCCTGCTGCATCTGCAGGGACCGAAGCGGGTGAGGCATCCTCCTGGGAGTCATTGGGTGCCTGTTGCGTGGAGGAGGATGCACAGTCCAGAGCTTGAGCTGCACAGGACGACGTGATGGTACACCCGCAGCCCGCATGGGATCCCATCACATTTCAATTCCAGTCCGCAAGTATCGTAAGAAGCAATTGCCCATCCCAGCCAGCGCTCAATACGACGCACCTTGCGGGCTCGCTCCGCCTCTTCCTCTTCTCGCAGCTTCCGCAGTCGCAGCTCTTCGAGCTCAGACCGCTTGAGGTATCTTTTGCCACCAAATTCTGCTTCGGCTGCTTTCTTCTTGCTGGCCAACAGCTCCCTCAGTTTATCCATGCGGACAGAGGTGAGCAACTCAGCAGGGGGTCCAGCCAGTCTTGGTTTTCACAGGCACAGCGCAACGAGACCCAGGCTTATATCGCCGGTTAAGAGGATTGACTGTATTTTGAACCGTGCTGAATGTTTGGTGGTAATTGACTCGTCGTCGTGGGTGCCCGACCTCCCTGGCCTGTGTTGGCGCGCGGAGAGATCTCTCGGATCCCAGTGCCGATGGCACGCTGTTCACTTTAGTGCATACGCCTGCCCAGGCGACGCTGCCGGCCTGCATCCCCGCGCTCATCTTTCCCCCCTTCCATCCCCTCCGCCCTGTTCTTACGCGTGGCAGATCCCGCACCGGTGCGCAGGTTCACGCCACGGGGGCGTCGAACACCCACATGTGGCTGGCCACGAAGAGGAAGTGGGCCGCGCCGCACCACCAGGCCAGGAAGCCCAGGCCCGCATCCAGCACGCGGTTGGCGTCGACGCCCGGCACCAGCCGCGGGTTCAGCCCGCTGTTCAGCTGCGCCAGGCCCAGGCCCAGGAAGAGCGCGGCGGGGGCGGCGGCCTGGACCGCGGCGCGGCCGGCCAGGCCGCTGACCAGCGCCAGCTTGGCGCGGACCAGCTCCAGGCGCAGGCCGCGGTGGGTCAGCCCCCCCGGCGCGGGGTGCTTGAGCACGTGCCAGCCCAGCAGGCCCGTGTCCAGGTACCGCTGCATGAGCAGGCGGGTGTTGGAGAGCCCCAGCAGGCCCACGGCCGCCAGGGCGGCGCCCTGGATGAGACGGGCGCCGGAGGGCGTCACGTCGAACAGGATGTCGGCGCGCAGGCTACCCTGTGGAATATTGGGAGGTGAGAGGAGGGGTGACGGGGGTTGTTGTTGCACGGGGGACGGCCAAGGAGCCATTGAGAGGAACAGAGGTTGGGAGGGGGAACAGCCATCAGGGCAGGGGCCCACCGACGACATGTCACACCCGACGCACACCTTGTCGACACCCTCCACCACACAGACAACACACACAGAAGGCCACACAGCAGGTCGCCCTGGGGACTGCAAGCACACCAGGCCCGCACGCCCCCGCACCCAGAGCATCGACGCGGCCAGGGGCCCCAGAAACTGGAGGCCGAGCCGCGTCTTCTTCACGAGGTTGGTGGGGATGTTGCCCCCCGCCCAAGCGGGGGGCGACCGCTGCAGGCGGAAGGCGGCGGCGAAGCGCAGCGCGGGCAGCAGCAGCAGCGCGCCGGCCACGCCCGACGCGCCGGCCAGGGTCAGGCGCAGGCCGGCCAGCCCCAGACTGCGCGGCGTGGCCCCCGGGCGGGCCAGCGCCGCCAGCACCGGCCCGACCAGGGCGGCGGCGGAGCTCTGCTGCTGCACCGGCGCCCACAGCGGCGCCCGTCCCTGGATCACCCAGGCCGCCAGGCCGCCCCCGACCCCGTACCCGAGGGCCATGATCTTGTCCCCGGTGCTGGTGGTGCGCGCCAGGAACTCCGTTTTGGCCAGCGAGACCAGGCTGCCCAGCACGCACAGCCCCGACACCGCCAGGGCGTGGTTGGGAGGAGGGGAATCCGTGTGCCAGGCGTAGAGAGCAGACAGGGCGGTCACCAGCCCCGCCAGCTCTGCCAGGCAGATCTGAGGAAGGAAGGGAGAGCGTGGGTGTTTCCGTGGTGTGCTCATCTTGGGGAAGCGGTCCTGAATGTTGGGCAGTGATGAGGTGCAGCATGGGGCCGACCTGTGATAACTGTCACTCGCTGGCAAGATTTGCAGTAGCACACGCCAGCCCGGCGCAGACACAGTCCCGAGCCTCTACAACCCCCACGCACACACCGTGCCATCAAACAGGTTGAAGTAGGGGAGGTCCCAGACCTCCCTGTAAGTTGTGGGCACGACTGCCAGAGCTTCTGCCTCCCCCAAGGAGTCATCCTCCTCTTCCTTCTTCTTGCTCTTGGTCGTCACACGCTTGGATCGGGTCTTCTGGTTGGACAGCAGACCGCCGGCGAGCTGATAGTGACGGAGGCCCACCAACAATCGAGCCGGGAAGGCATACCTGGGGTGTCAGGCACCGTGGGGTTGGGCAACGAGCACTCCGGTATAAGGGAGAACTGCAAGCAAACGTCCCCTCGAACAATGCACGATACATTCGGCGATGTACATTAAGGCACCTGGCATTGAAGATAGCGATGAGAATAACGCTAAGGATCAGGATGGCGGTGCCCGGCGACAAGGGGTTCTCCATCGCACTTCTGGTGCCTCGTCAGCTGCGTCTCACACCCTAGCCCACCATGCACCGTTTTGTGATGAGTGTCGATGGGAAATTTCCCAGATACTTTGGAGTCACTGCACACTAAAATTTACGCCGAGGATGACCGTCAGCAATCTGCCATGAGGAGCGTCAAGATTCACATGGGGCAACAGTAAAATATCCGATCCGACATATCCGGTCTAGGCGTCCTGCTTTTCCCAAGCCGGGACGGAGGGGCTGCATCTAGTCTTGTTCAATTCCCTTATTAATATCGAGGTCCAGTCCCTGGCAATAAGGCTTGGAGCTGTGGATGCAAGTATGAGCCTCCCGTCGCCACTTCAACTCCCCCGGGCGCCAGGCTGGCGGTCAGGCATCCCAGTTTACGTCTTTCGAACCCTGCCTTGCCAAGTGATCAATAAATCAGGTCGATCTTGTGTCCAGCCATGCAGAGCACGTAAAACAGGTGAGCAATCGCGCATTGAGTGGTGGATGACGCCCATCGCCTGCGCTGCTCTGGCACGATACCACCGTCATCCGGCAACAGGTCCCTTGCCTGGCGTGGGCAGGGAGCAATGGTGATGTCCATTCACATTCGGTGCGGCCTAAATTATCACGCACCTCCACCCTGTATCTTCTGTAGAAGGGAGCTTTGAAGATGTCTCAGAGGGTCCCCCCCGTCCCCCACCCCTGGTGGGAGGCTCATCCAGCACAGCTGAAGGTCGGGAGAGGAGTCATGGCGGTACACAATGTGAAACACTGCTCACTACATGACTGCATCGACACCTCTGCTCCTGGATGTTGCCAGATGTCGTGTTGCCCCCCCATTCTTCCCCCCGCCCAGATCCGCCTTCTCCGCGTGAGTCATCATCCTCTGGCATCCAGCTGCCCTCCTGGGTGGACCGAGACGACCTCAACACCGTGGCAATAGCTGTGGTGGTGTCTTATGCGATACGCTGGTGGGTCTGACCGCTGGCAGGTCCAGGTGCAGGTTGTGGCGTATACGAAGCATATGGCACATGGTCTGTCTCCAGGTCAAGGCGCATGTGATTAGTATGAATGGCTGGAGAATTATGCTCGCAATGTCACTCAGGCATGCCCGCTTGCTCTCCATCCTCCAGCACTCCCAGCAGCCTCAATCCGGCCTGCCCTCCACCACTCGCAGGTTTGTTGCGGAGCCGCGATTCATCCCCTCCCTCAGTATGTATCCCACCTTTGAGGTGGGCGACCGATTTGTGGCTGAGAAGCTGACATACCGCTTCGCCCATCCCCCGACCGCCGGAGACATTGTGATCTTCCGGCCACCCAAGGGCATCGGCGGCAATGGTGGCTGGCTCGACGACAATGTGTTCGTCAAGAGGGTTGTCGCTGTCGCTGGTACGCGGCAGAGCAAGGGCCTTTGCAGCTGGGGGCCTTGCATTGCGGTGATCTGTGCTGTCCGTGGGTTGGACAGGCTGCGCACCTCGCTGCAGCGTTTTTCTGGGGTAAGCAGTCGTGCCTCGCATGCATTGCAATCCTCTCCTGCCTGCTCGCGTGGAGGCCCTTGGCCCCCTGGCCACACCATTGCACCGTGCATGGGGTTTAGATTTCTTGTGCCCATGTCCCATCAATCGCTTCCTTCAGGTGACACTGTGGAGGTCAAGAAGGGCGCGCTCTTTGTCAATGGGGAGGAGCGGGTGGAGGAGTATCTGGCAGAGAGGCCGGCCTATGAGATGGAGTCCCTGACCGTGCCTCCACGGTGAGTTGGAACCATGGGGCAAGGCTTAGTGTATGAACTGCGTTACACCTATCGCGGGTGCTTCACCGTGGACTCATTAGTCACTGTCACTCAGCCAGCAGGGTTGGGCACTGATAGCCAGCGTTTTGCCGCTATCTCAGTCACCTTCCCCACCCTCCCCTCCCATTCCCAGCCATGTCTTTGTCATGGGCGACAACCGCAACAACAGCTACGACTCCCACTTGTGGGGTCCCCTTCCCCTCGAGAATGTGGTCGGACGGGCAGTATGGAAATACTGGCCCCTTCAGGAATTCGGACCCGTGGACAGAACTTTTACCAGGAGCGGGACAGGTCTTGCCGGTGAACTGGCAGCACCCCCGCTGAAGGGGTAAAGTGCCACATCGCTTACACTCCTATATGGCTGGTAATCAGTACATCAATAGCATTCATTGCAAAGTTGTGAAGGTGGACTTCGGTTGGCAGGAAGGCTATAGAAATTCCTTATCGGGGAGAGATTCCTCACGTATCGAGCCTCACAAGGCTGACACTCAGAGAATCCCATTCAGCAAGGCTTGCACCCAGGGCAGCTGCAGGGTCGCAAAAACGAGGTAGTGTAGACCGCGATAGGAAAGGTAGATGATACCTGCTCGTCTCGGGGAATGGGTGAGCAGAGGAGGGGTGAGAGCTTCTGGTGTAGGAATCTGTCTCGTGCTGCAAAAAAGGGCAAAGCCCGATCGCTGCACCGGTGCGGGCACCTGTAGCGGCTTCACTCTTACAAGCGCCACCCAGATGGATTCCTTGACGTACCTACGGGTAGGCCTAAGATTATAGCGATGATAAGGATGAGAAGGGAGGTAGCCACTAATGTCTCTGCTGTATCCAGTGCAAGTTTCCGACTGCGCCTGGATAAAAGCAGGACCAGTGACAAACCGAGGAGGAGAAGCGTCCCTTGTATTGTCTGGAGTACACTCTCTGGAACTTTTTTGAGGTCTGGGAAGGTGCCTGCCTGACTGGCTCGTACGACTATGTCCTGTGCCTGGCGGAGTTCGGCCACCTTGACGGCCAGGTACTCTTTGATCACCATGAGGGAATGTGATCTTCCTTGCTATACTCGGATTCTTCGCGAACCCCGTTTTCCGATCAGTTTGAGAAGCTGGGAGCTGAATGCGCATACGTGTAATGCAGGATTGAACGTTGAACAGCCTGCGCGCCCGGCCATGGAGCAGGCTGACCTGGCAATTTACGGGAGACCCTCCGACACAGAGAAACAGGCATGGTCTCGAACATCCCAACCGTCGCCACTCTGCCGCAGCATATGCATTAGCATTGCTCCACATATTGAAGCTTCATTTCCATGGAGGATTCCACTGCCCGTCGCATATCTCAGCTAGCCCAGCACCTGGGGGATCCCGGTGGTGCGGGCGCGCTCACGAGGGCCCTCACCTCTGCTGCTGGCGGTCAGGTGCAGCATGAGATCCAGATGCTCCTGGAGCACGACAGCCATGCCGAGCGCCAGAAGATGAAGGACCTGATGAACACCGACCTGTTCACGCCGTGCGTGACTGGAGTTGGCGGGGGCCACACGTGACTCCCTGTTGACCCGCCCCTGCACGGTGCACCGCAAGCTCCAGCAGCACTGGCAGGCCCTAGAGGCTCACAAAACCCTTTCCCACCCCCCTTCCCACAGCCGCTGGAACATCCCACTGGCCGAGGAGCGCGAACTGGCCCTGCGTCGCCTGAAGGTGCTCAGCAACAGCGGCAACTTCTCCATCACCGACTTCCGCAGCGACCCGCTGCGGATCTTTGCCGCGCACGAGGTGGCGGCCCTGGCCGACGTGTCCCTGGCCACCAAGATGACCGTGCAGTACAACCTGTTTGGCGGCACGGTGCTCAAGCTGGGCACCGCCCGCCACCACGACCTCCTCCTCGCCGGCATCGACACCATGGACCACATCGGCTGCTTCGCCCTCACCGAGCTGGGGTTTGGGAACAACGCGGTCGAGATGCAGACCACCGCCACCTTTGACGAGGCGCGGGACGAGTGGGTCATCCACACGCCCGGGTCGCTCGCGCAAAAGTACTGGATCACCAACGGCGCCGTGCACGCACACTGGGCCGTGGTCTTCGCGCAGACCATCAGCCGCGGCCAGCGCCACGGCATCCACGGCTTCCTGGTGCGCCTGCGCAACCACGAGGTGAGGCGCGGGTGGGTGTCTTCGGCGTGGGGTGAGGGGCAGTGGGGTTGCGAATGCAGGATGCTGCCCTCGGTGCGACTGTGTGCTAGGTAGCTGGAGGGCTCACCTGACCAGGGCTGAGTGTGCACACCTCGTGCCATGACGCTCACAGGCGCACCGCCCCTTTTCCAACAGACCATGCAGCCATGCCAAGGCGTGACCATTCACGACATGGGCCACAAAATGGGCTGCAACGGCGTGGTGAGTTGGGAGTTGCAAGGTGTGGGCACACAGGTTGGCACCTGTGAGGACCAGCCTGACAGGATGGCATGGGTGGGCGGGAGTTGGGGCCGTCAGCTGCCCCGCAAGCCTCTTGCCTTTTCGCGCAACAAATACACTCCAACCACCCCCCCCCCCCCCCCCCCTCCTCCCCACCACAGGACAATGGCAAGCTGTGGTTCAACAACGTGCGTGTGCCGCGCTCTGCCATGCTGGACGCCTTCAGCCAGGTGGCGCGGGATGGGACGCTGACCTCCAAGATCCCACGAGCCAGGGATCGGTTCCTCAAGGTGGCAGACCAGCTGCTCAGGTGCGGAGGCCAAAGGCAGGGAGTGGGAAGTTTGGGTGCGCGCTGGGCTCCCGCTGTTGGGGTTGCGGTGGGACGAGAGTGTGAGGGCAGGGTGTGGTGCCCTGTGTGCTGTGTGCCGCTGGTTCAGTCATGGTTCATCGCTCAGGGGTGATCTCCTTCCTTGGCGCGCCAGCTCAACCCCCAACCACCCATCCCGCCCCTCGCATTGCTCAAACAGTGGCCGCATCTGCATCGCCAGCATGATGCTGAGCGGGGCGAAAATGGCGCTGACCATCGGCATGCGGTATGCAAGCACCCGCCTGGCCGTCGGACCCACGTGAGCCGCGGCGAGAGGGGGGTGGAAAGGGAGTCGCGAGGGGTAGAGGATGTGAAGGAGCCTGGGTTTACCCTCAGGCAGTGGGTGCGGAGGCGCTCTCAAGATCTTGCGGGCAGGCGGGGAGGGTGGCTGCATCCTGAATGCTTCACACACCTTCCACTCGTCGTGTCACTGGACTGACTGCCTCCTGGTTTTGCAGTGGGAAGAGCGACACACCCATTCTGGAGTACCAGCTGCAGCAGAGGGCCCTGGCACCCCTCCTGGCCTCCACCATTGCCCTCAACATCGGGCTCAACTATGGTGCGGGGTGTGGGAAGCTGGTCTGCTAGAAACAGGATCTGGGTCCTGGCTTGCGATGGGGTCGAGGTGTACATCACTCGGGGTCATGCTGCTGGCGTCTGTGTCGTCAGCCGCAGCACTCAACCCAGCTCCAAAACGGACACCTTACAGTCAAGGAGCGGTGGAGCGCGGCGAGTGGCTTCGGAGACCGCTTGATCCTGGCGGATGAGGCCCGCGAGGTGATCACTCTGGTCTGTTCCATCAAGCCCCTGTGTGGCTGGAACACGGAGGAGACGGCGACCACCTGCCGCGAGCGCTGTGGCGGGCAGGTGTGTGAGTGTGTTGCTCTGTGTGTTGGGATCCTGCGATTTGAGACCTGCGGAGGGCTCCATGTGGGCTTGCTTCGGTGCACCCACTGACTTGCAGCGCACAGGGGCCTACCGTCTGTCCCAGACCCAATGCCACGGCCGCACTGAACCTTCCCTCCCTCTCTCCGCCACCCCACCCCTTGCGTGACGTCTCACTCCCCACCCCTCACCTCCCCACCTCCAAAGGGCTACCTGAGCTGCAACCGGTTTGGCTCCATCATCGGCTTTGCACACGCCGGCATCACGGCGGAGGGCGACAATCGAGTGCTCTTCACAAAGGTCGCCAAGGAGCTGACCGCCAGCCTGCACGTGCCCGAGGTCAAGGCACGGCTGGAAGCCGGGAAGAAGCCGCCGGCCGTCACCGTCGCCAGGTGGGGTGCAGTTGGCGGGTGCGGCGCGCGAGCGGTGAGATGTGCCGGTGTTGGCACGCCTCCCCTCATCCCAACACTCCCCTCCGCCACCCTCCCCGCATCACACCCACCACCCACCCTGCCCCCAACTCACTGCAGCCTGTCCGACCCCGAGGCCCTGCTGGCCCTCTTCACGGCGCGCGACGGCCGGCGTCTGGCCGCGCTGGCCAGCGCAATGTCGGGCCTGGGCTCCAGCGCGGAGGTGTTCGACGTGTGGATGCGACGCGAGTCCGACGCTGTGCAGGCCACCGCGACCGCGTACGCGGAGCGGGAGGTGCTGGGCGCGTGCGTGCGTGCGTTGCGCGCCGCCTCGCCCGTCGCGCGCCCACTGCTGGTGCGCTGCGTCACGCTGTACGCGCTGTGCCGGCTGGAGGCCGACCTGGCCTGGCTGATGACGGAGGGCATGGTGCCGCTGCGCGTGGGCGCGGCGGTGCCGGGCGCAGTGCGCGGCCTGTGCGCCGCGCTGGCGCCGGACTTTGGCACGCTGGTGCAGGCGCTAGGCGTGCCGGAGCACCTCATCGCCGCGCCCATCGCGGGGGACTGGGCGCGGTACAACGAGACGGACAACCGCGGGGAGGTGGTGGGGGAGGTGTTTTAGAGCGGTGTCTCAGTTGCGGCGCAGGGCTCCTGACGAGGTCTGCCATTCTTGTCTAGCGCACTTGCCACTCCTGAATCTTGAGAAACTCCTATACTGTAGCGCTGTGGTAGTACATGGCTGTAGAATGTGAAAGACGGGGCACACGGGAAGTGTCGCAATTTCTATTCCTCCAGCCGATCACACGGCGGAGAACTCGCGCCCGCGGAGCGATGGGAGTGGCATTCGCCTCATAGCACTGCCTTGTATGGACAATAGTGTCAAGCTGGAGAAGATTATAGTAATTGAAAATTCTAGTGTTGTATTATTTAGCCCATTAAATTATACCTGCGTCGGCCAAGGGCTGTGAGTCCTCCTCGGCGTGACCCGTCGTGTGTCCTAGTCGGAGCTCAGGCATGGATGGGGATGCATACAAGCTGCTGGGCTTGGAGAATGGACCCGAGGCTACAGATGTGGAGATTAAAAAGGTCAGGAGAGTTCAAATGCACGGCTGCTGTGCGGTGCAGGGTGATTGCTCTCAAGGGATGTGAGGGGTGGGTAGGGCTGAAGAGTCAAGCCGCCTGGGCCCTAAGAGGCCGGTGCACAGCCCTCATTTCGACCCTCGCTTCCCTGTGCAGGCCTATCGCAGGCTAGCCCTGCAAAAGCATCCGGACAAGAACCCCGACAACCCCAACGCCGCCTCAGAGTTTGCAGCTCTGCAGAAAGCATACGAACTCCTGTGTGATGGTGATGCCCGCGCAGCCCTCGACAACTTTCTGCGGTGAGCACAGTAATACGATGCACGGCGTATGGTTTGCCTTCCATACCCGCGTTGCGCTTGAGATTATGACACTGCTGCAGCTGGTGTCGCAATGGTTTTCTCGGTTGGTGAAGGACGCATGTTACACATTAACAAGTTGGCATCCTGTTCCCCCCCCAATCTCCGTTCCCAATCTCATGTGAACGCACCCCCTACACTCCATTTGGCAGGGCCTGTGCCGCACGCATCGTCCGCACCGCGACCAAAGACGCGAAGCGGCAGAAAATGATGGCCGACCTGGAGGCGCGGGAGGCGGCTGGCGAGACTCAACGGAGCCAGGTGGAGGCCGCGCGTGCCAGGCTGGCCGAGGAGGTCGCCAAGCTGCGACGCCGGGCCGCGGAACGAGAGGCCGCCGAGCGTGCCAGGACTGTGCGGGAGCAGGAACCCGCTGCGCAGGCTGGGGCGGCGGAGGTGGCCGGCCTGGATGCCGAGGACTTGGCGAGCGCCTCCCTCCAGGAGCGCCTCGCTCGAACAGTCAAGGCCTCCTGGGCGCGTGCGGTGCGTGCTGGAATGGGCTTGGGAGAATTTTATTTGGCAACCTGAGCCTGCATGCTCGGCGACCCTATTCCTTACCGTGGGCTTCTTGTGCCCCTTGGCGTGTGTGCAACCACTTCAGACCTCCCAGCCCAGCCTGCAGCCTCATTTGAGAAGTCACGACCTCAAACCACATTCATGGCACAGGACGGCGAGTACAGCGCGGAGGAGCTCCGGCTTGTGTTTGGCCGGCAGGGCGCCGTGGAGGACGTGGTGCTGCGTGGTGGGTCCAAGAAGAAGGGCAGCGCCTGGGTGGTCATGGCCAGCCGCGAGGGTGCGGCGGCTGCGGCCACCTCCCTCAACGGCAGCGCCTCCCGGCCTCTCCTTGTGGTCCCACTAGCCCGTATCAGAGCAGATGGGGTAGGCAGGGCTGACGCCAGAAATGGGGAGAGCCCCTCGGGCGCCGTCCCTGGCCCATGGTCTGCTATGGATGGGGGCGACGCGGGCAGGGCGGGGACAGGCCTGAGCTCGGCTCCGGGTCAGCTTGAGGCACGATCCGATGCAAGGGTCGCCTGGGCGAAACTCCCCAGCTCCGGCCCTGGCCGGCCGCTGTTTGCTGCCGGTGCAGCCTTCCACCAGATCCCGCAGCAGAGCACCCTCTTCCCGGCCGCCGGTGGCGCGGCGTCCGGGCGCGGCCCCAGCGCCCAGGTCCAGTTTCCCGCTTTCCAGAGCAGGAGCTACAAGGCCCAGGGCCATGACGGTGCGCAAGATGCAGCTGCCGCGGCAGGGTTCCCTCGGCACGAGGAGGCCATTCTGGCCAAGCTCCGGCAGGCTGCAGAGAGGAAGCGGCTGGCGCAGGATCTGCAGCGACAGGAGCTGGAGGAGCAGGAAAAGGGCTGACGGATATGGCGTTGTCACCATGGGAGAAGGTAGAGAAACTGCAATGAAACGACCTGACCTCAGCCCAGGAAGTGGTCTGTCTTTTCAGATCGAGGGGTCACATGAACAAGGGGACGCGATGAGAGTTCATCCCCCCTTTCCTTTCGCCGTGCACCCTGGATCACATTGTTTCTCCACGACACCTGCCGGTCCCGGGGGGGACTATTCTGTGCCAGTCGGCCGCGATCAAGGCATGCAAACTCCATCTTCATAGTTTGTCGACAAATTTGAGACAAGCGTTGGTCCAGCAGCGGTTGCAAGCCCACCCTCGTGGGTGTGGTGCGGCTTGGCCGTGCTTGTGTAGGTGGCAGCCATGGAGACCGCAGACGAGGCTGGAAGCTACGCAGGCTCTGGATTGGGGGTTCTCGCTCCCGCCGATGCTCTTGTCAACCCCGTCATCGGCGATACCGTCAGTTTTGGGGGCAACACCAGTCCGGTGGGTGGTCCTCCGCTGCCTGGTGGGATTCAAGCTCTGCAACCCCCCATCGCTATGCAGCTGGCCCCTTCCCAATTGCGATACTCTTTGTAACATGCACATTCTCCCCTCATGTAGCGTGCGGCGCGCAGCCAGGCGAGCCGAGCCTTGTACAGCACCACCCCACACCCAGCCCTGGAGGGAACCTCTGTCGTGCTGTCGGGGGTGTCTGGCGGTCAGGACACCTACCTATCTGCAGCAGGAGCTACGGGTGCGTGGGTGCAATGCTCTTCCTGGTGCTCTCTTCTGGGAGGGCAGCTGTGATGGTGGCTGCAATGTGGTTCTACTGCTTCCCCCACCATTATCCATGATTGGGGCATGGTGTGTGGTTCCCTGGCAGGCATAGGCCGCTTCATCGCCTCTCAAGTGTATGTCCTGGTGCTTCGCGGTGCAGGCGAGCACACGTCCGCTTTCCCAGCCCTGGGCGAGGCGGGTACTGGGGCGCAGGCGGCCTCGGGTCTGCAACAGGCTGCCAGCCTTGCCTCTCATTTCGAGCAGCCCCCCCGCGGGGACTGGACCGGCGGCGTCCCACGCGGCGGCAGCCCTGCCGTCAGCCGCGTGGAGGCCGGGGAGCATGGCCGGTGCGCAGAGGCCGGGGGCGCGCTCCTCGCGAGCGCACGCAGCGCGGGCGGCGCCGCCGACGCGGCCGCCGCGCTCCGCCCCTCGACCTCGGGCACCACCCCCGGTGGCGTGGCGGCCCGCCGCGCAGCCAGGGCCAGCCGGGAGTCGCAGTACTTGGGCGGGGGCCCCCCCTCGCCCTCGCTGTCCAGGGCCCAGGACAACCTCGGGGCCAGCCCCCTGACCAGCACGCTGGCTGTGGCCCGCGGAGGCAGGCTGGAGGGGGCGGGGTCCCCCGGCCCGGGCGGGGAGCAGGCGGGCGGCGCGCCGGGGCGCGCACTCATGCCCGACGGCGAGGCGGCGCCAGGGCGCCGGGCTTTCGAGCCCGGCCACGACCAGCGTGCCGAGACCCCCCGCGACGGGGTCCACGACGCCGGCAGCCCCGCCCCCGGCGAGGGCAGGGAGGGCGAGCGGGGCGGGGAGGGGGAGCCCGAGGTCCTCCTCCAGGCGCAGATGTCGGTGGTATACGGCGCCTCGTATAACTCGTATAAC